AAGACACCTGTCCACACACTCAATCAAACAGACTCCAACCTCTCCACAATGGCCAAGACCAGAGAGCTGTGTAAGGACATCAGGGATACAATTGTAGACCTGCACAAGGCTGGGATGGGCTACAGGACAATAGGCAAGCAGCTTGGTGAGAAGGCAACAATTGTTGGCGCAATTATTAGAAAATGGAAGAAGTTCAAGATGATGGTCAATCACCCTCGGTCTGGGGCTCCATGCAAGATCTCACCTTGTGGGGCATCAATGATCATGAGGAAGGTGAGGGATCAGCCCAGAACTACACGGCAGGACCTGGTCAATGACCTGAAGAGAGCTGGGACCACAGTCTCAAAGAAAACCATTAGTAACACACTACGCCGTCATGGATTAAAATCCTGCAGCGCACGCAAGGTCCCCCTGCTCAAGCCAGCGCATGTCCAGGCCCGTCTGAAGTTTGCCAATGACCATCTGGATGATCCAGAGGAGGAATAGGAGAAGGTCATGTGGTCTGATGAGACAGAAATTGAGCTTTTTGGTCTAAACTCCACTCGCCGTGTTTGGAGGAAGAAGAAGGATGAGTACAACCCCAAGAACACCATCCCAACCGTGAAGCATGGAGGTGGAAACATCATTCTTTGGGGATGCTTTTCTGCAAAGGGGACAGGATGACTGCACCGTATTGAGGGGAGGATGGATGGGGCCATGTATCGCGAGATCTTGGCCAACAACCTCCTTCCGTCAGTAAGAGCATTGAAGATGGGTCGTGGCTGGGTCTTCCAGCATGACAACGACCCGAAACACACAGCCAGGTCAACTAAGGAGTGGCTCCGTAAGAAGCATCTCAAGGTCCTGGAGTGGCCTAGCCAGTCTCCAGACCTGAACCCAATAGAAAATCTTTGGAGGGAGCTGAAAGTCCGTATTGCCCAGCGACAGCCCTGAAACCTGAAGGATCTGGAGAAGGTCTGTATGGGGGAGTGGGCCAAAATCCCTGCTGAAGTGTGTGCAAACCTGGTCAAGACCTACAGGAAACGTATGATCTCTGTAATTGCAAACAAAGGTTTCTGTACCAAATATTAAGTTCTGCTTTTCTGATGTATCAAATACTTATGTCATGCAATTAAATGCAAATTAATTACTTAAAAATCATACAATGTGATTTTATGGATTTTTGTTTTAGATTCCGTCTCTCACAGTTGAAGTGTACCTATGATAAAAATGACAGACCTCTACATGCTTTGTAAGTAGGAAAACCTGCAAAATCGGCAGTGTATCAAATACTTGTTCTCCCCACTGTATATGGGGGATACAACCATCCCAGCTCTGCAGATTTTGCTGTGAGGAGACAGAATCATTAGATAATTTGCTTTGGCTTGTTTTTGGTTGCAGGTTCAGGAATGGCTGAAGAATTGCAACATTTACCTGGAGCTAACTCTGTGAATAGCACTGCTGAGTAATTTAAAAAGGCATAGTCAATCGATCAATAATATAATAATAGCAAAAATGTTTATTTAATTTACAATCTGTAGAAACTATGAGAATAGAAAGGTTCCGAACTTTTGTGAAACATCATAGCACAGTTGAAAAATATATGGCAAATAGAAATCAAAACTGGATGGTGTTCAGAGATAGATGGGAGGGGTTAAGTGGAGCTGAAGGGTGGGACAAAAAATAATAATATAACTCATGTAAAATATACTGTGTCTGTAAAATGTATATAGGTTCAGAACATTTGTGAAACAGCACAGTTGGGTGGTCTTCAGAGATAGATGGGAGGGTTTGAGGGTTGCTGAAGGATGGGACTAAAAACAAGCAAAAGATAACTATTGTCAAATATACTGTGTCCGTAAAATGTATATAGTATGTATAAGCTGTAAGTAGAAGCCTAAGTGTTGTTGTCCATTAGTTTACTCCAATTAGGGGAGGGATGGTAGGGTTAGGGGAAAATAATAAAGGAAAATATATTTAAAAAACTATATATTTTACATACACTGAGGGAAAAAAGTATTTGATCCCCTGCTGATTTTGTATTTTTACCCACTGACAAAGAAATGATCAGTCTATAATTTTAATGGTAGGTTTATTTGAACAGTGAGAGACAGAATAACAACAACAAAATCCAGAATTTCTGGCTCCCAGGTGTCTTTTATACAGGTAACGAGCTGAGATTAGGAGCACACTCTTAAAGAGAGTGCTCCTAGTCTCAGTTTGTTACCTGTATAAAATACACCGGTCCACAGAAGCAATCAATCAATCAGATTCCAAACTCTCCACCATGGCCAAGACCAAAGAGCTCTCCAGGATGTCAGGGACAATATTGTAGACCTACATAAGGCTGGAATGGGCTACAAGACCATCGCCAAGCAGCTTGGTGAGAAGGTGACAACAGTTGGTGCGATTATTCACAAATGGAAGAAACACAGAAGAACTGTCAATCTCCCTCGGCCTGGGGCTCCATGCAAGATCTCACCTTGTGGAGTTGCAATGATCATGAGAACGGTGAGGAATCAGCCCAGAACTACACGGGAGGATCTTGTCAATGATCTCAAGGCAGCTGGGACCATAGTCACCAAGAAAACAATTGGTAACACACTACGCCGTGAAGGACTGAAATCCTGCAGCACCCGCAAGTTCCCCTGCTCAAGAAAGCACATATAAAAGGCCCGTCTGAAGTTTGCCAATGAACATCTGAATGATTCAGAGGAGAACTGGGTGAAAGTGTTGTGGTCAGATGAAACCAAAATCGAGCTCTTTGGCATCAACTCAACTCGCCGTGTTTGGAGGAGGAGGAATGCTGCCTATGACCCCAAGAACACCATCCCCACCGTCAAACATGGAGGTGGAAACATTATGCTTTGGGGGTGTATTTCTGCTAAGGGGACAGGACAACTTCACCGCATCAAAGGGACGATGGACGGCGTCATGTACCGTCAAATCTTGGGTGAGAACCTCCTTCCCTCAGCCAGGGCATTGAAAATGGGTCGTGGATGGATATTCCAGCATGACAATGACCCAAAACACACGGCCAAGGCAACAAAGGAGTGGCTCAAGAAGAAGCACATTAAGGTCCTGGAGTGGCCTAGCCAGTCTCCAGACCTTAATCCCATAGAAAATCTGTGGAGGGAGCTGATGGTTCGAGTTGCCAAACGTCAGCCTCGAAACATGAATGACTTGGAGAAGATCTGCAAAGAGGAGTGGGACAAAATCCCTCCTGAGATGTGTGAAAACCTGGTGGCCAACTACAAGAAACGTCTGACCTCTGTGATTGCCAACAAGGGTTTTGCCACCAAGTACTAAGTCATGTTTTGCAGAGGGGTCAAATACTTATTTCCCTCATTAAAATGCAAATCAATTCATAACATTTTTGACATGCGTTCTTCTGGATTTTTTTGTTGTTATTCTGTCTCTCACTGTTCAAATAAACCTACCAATAAAATTATAGACTGATCATGTCTTTGTCAGTGGGCAAACGTACAAAATCAGCAGGGGATCAAATACTTTTTTTCCCCTCACTTTATATATATATATATATATATATATATATTTACGAAGAAATATATGGGGGATTGGATGCAGACAATTACATTGTTGGAAGCCACAATCTATCTGCAATATTAAAGCTGATCTACCCCCTAAAATAGAAAAAAAAAATATATATATAAATATAAGTTGGATCAGAAAAAGATTAACAAATATACACATGCTTTACAAGGTACAACGGTCATCATATTTACACTATTGTCTATTTGGAAGGAAAAGTCACGATAAAAAGTCTCACAAAAGGAACTTGTGTTTAAGACAATGTTTTTATTTTAAGCATAATGATAGAAGTAATATATAAAAAAAAACAATTAAAAAAAACAGGTAGACAATTACATTTTGTTTTGTTTTAAAACTGTGGTTGCATTTAACATATCTTTTTTTCTTAACCAGAATATTGTCATCATAATGGTTTATAGTCCAAGATTTTGGAATAAATACAAAGAGTTGCATCATAACGTGAACATCAGTCATAAACGCATTTTTACAGCACATCTACAACTATGATCATCTTATCCAGTGAACACCATCTACAACTATGATCATCTTATCCAGTGAACACCATCTACAACAGGGATCATCAACTAGATTTGAGCAGCGGGCCGATTCTTTGCTTGAGCGGATGGTCAAGGGGCCAGAACATAATTACAAATAATTTGAAGCTTAAATCTGTGTTTTTGGAAACTGCTTATAGAGGTTTGTTCTTTCAACAGTGTTTATAAATGTGTTTATTACGACCAGAGTTTGATATTATCATGTACACAGTTGGATAAAACAATGGTTTTTCTATCAGAACCTGATCTCACCTGAACAATTATAAGGACTATGGCCTGGTTTCCTGGACACAGATTAAGACTAGTCCTGGACTAAGAAGCAAGCTCAATGGAAAAATCTCCAGCGAAGATTATTTTGAGTCCATGACTAGGCTTAATCTGTGTCCAGGAAACCTCTCCTATAACTTGAATGGAGTGTGGCACTCTAAACTGTTTACATACCAGAAAGGTGCCGGAAATGGACAGGTTACCAAAATCATTTTCCCCCCCCCTAAAAACCCAGAGATTAATTTACATAAACAGTTGTATTTTTTTTCTCATATTGGTGTCTGTCCCCATTTCTTATATAATAGTTCATCAACAATGATATGTATAACAATAATTATGTGTTTGGAAATACAATGAATGTTAGTGTAGTAAATATCACAAGTAAAATGAAATGAAACAGAATATCTTTATATTAATCCACTCTCCCGCCCCATTTTACTCCAATACTCCTCTTCATTTGAATATAAATACTACTGCGCGTTGTCTCAGGGTAAATGAGAGAGGAGGTTAGCTGGAGGCCTTGAGCTCAGGTGGGGAATGTCAGGTAACAGGTAAGGTTACATCCCAGACCCATCCCTTTGCCCTGATGCCACTCCACTGACCCCTGACCCCTGACCCTGCCAACAGTGAGCTAGTCGGGGGGGGGGGGGGGAATGAAATAAATAAAGATGTGAAAGATAGGAGGGTTGGGTCTCTCTTTTCATTTGGTGGCTTGCCAGATGATGATGCCCACTATGGTCAACACTATGGACAAGACCACAGCCAGGATACACATCTTCTTACGGGACTTTTGCTGAGGGGAGAAACAGAGCAGAGGGTTGGTGACAGTTGACGTGCAGAAACAGCATGGAGCCAATTCATTTAAATGTTACCTGTTACTGGGGATGAAACGCTCTATTTGACAGTTCAACGCTATGCGAGCCATTGTTTTCAAGCAGCAAACGCACAGCATGCTAGGTCGTGCTCAGTGGTGTAGTGGAGGGGATAAGCTGTATAGCCACTTATTTTTCAGTGGGCATTGCGTGTACTCACTTGTCAATCCCCACTGATGCGTATCAAAGTAGTGTAGTGCAGGGTGCACGCCGTATCAATCATGCACAACGTAGCCTACACAAATGCAAATCGGTAAAATGTTTGGCAATATATTGGTGTGAAAAGCGCGAGTGTGAAACCATAGAATAAGCTTATATTATTCAGCACCAGGTAATGTGGCTTGGGCCCGGCGCTGGTTGAACCGGCGAAAGTCGGACCAAAAGACTTCAGCACCGGACCGCTTCAGCACCGGACCGCTTCAGCACCGGACCGCTCCGCACTCCGTTCTGTTCTGTTCTCAGACTCCTGACATTCACAAGGAGAACTGTGCATGTATCCCCATGTCACAAGAGTTCTACAGTTTAGACTCTTTGTTTTTCTTCACTATAGAAGAGCTTAGGGGACAGGCTATGGCGTTTAGACCAGGGTCCTGAGCTGAACAGATAGCCACCATTCCCCATCGTAGACTAAATAGCCTACAGAAATAATCTGGCAAAGACCACAGCCTAGAACAGAAAAGTTACACAAGAATAGTAATATCAGGGTAGAAATATGTGGAAACCATGGTGTATGGTAGTGAATGTACCCTAGACCTGGTTTTGTTTCCCATAAATCTCCTCTAGCACGATACAGAGATGACTGACTGCTCCCTTCAAGCGCTTCGTTGTAGGATACTGATCTCAGCAGCGACTAGCATCCGAGCCTTTAGCTGCTGTGACGTGTAGGAACTCCTCGAGTATCCCGTTCTCATGTAACGCACCACCACAGAAAGCTTTTCCTTTTCTTACCTCAGGTCCCTTAGCCTGACATAACAGCCATAAGGGATAGGCCTGTTATTTAATTCCGGATATCACGGTGGATGTATTTCTCATTGCCGTGATTGTAGGTCACTCAGAGTACGTCACTGTTTCTCATAATATTTCACACAGGTTGCCATTCCTACACCGGGCGGGCCATTTGGGAAATTAGAGTTTACCCACTTCTCGAGGCACCACTACACACCACTGGTAGACTACCAGTGGCAGTGCTAGGCATCAACAGCCAATCAAAGCACTATAACGATCCTCGATTGGTCAGCTGCACCATTATATAATCGTGCCATGATATCGCCGGGATATTTGCATAATGTTCTGCTTATTGTTCTGTTCACACTCAGTTCGGCGCGAGACGCTTTCCTTCTATTGAAAATGAATAGGCTCTCTCATTTAGCCATCGCTAGCTAGCAGTGGACATCGCTAGCTAGCAGTGGACACAGTGACTTTGCAACAGTGATACTTCCTCTTACCTGGTAGTACGCGGCCCTCTGGAGCTGTTCCGTCCCTCTGTCTACGTGACCTCAGCATCTCCCGTTTGGCCCTCTATGCGTGTCTGTGGGGAAACAACAGAGATCAGACACACAGGCTCAGCTTGTCACCGCCTCATGGTGCCTCAGCTTTTCTTCTTTAACACATATGTACATTGCCTTCAGAACGCATTCACAACCCCTCTACTTTTTCCACATTTTGTTGTGTTACAGCTTGAATTTAAAATGGTTTAAATAGATATTTTGTGTCTCTGAAAAAAACCCCTTTTTTAAAACAACCCAATACCCCGAATTTATTTGCAAATTATGGTGGAAAATAAGTATTTGGTCACCTACAAACAAGCAAGATTTCTGGCTCTCACAGACCTGTAACTTCTTCTTTAAGAGGCTCCTCTGTCCTCCACTCATTACCTGTATTAATGGCACCTGTTTGAACTTGTTATCAGTATAAAAGACACCTGTCCACAACCTCAAACAGTCACACTCCAAACTCCACTATGGCCAAGACCAAAGAGCTGTCAAAGGACACCAGAAACAAAATTGTAGACCTGCACCAGGCTGGGAAGACTGAATCTGCAATAGGTAAGCAGCTTGGTTTGAAGAAATCAACTGTGGGAGCAATTATTAGGAAATGGAAGACATACAAGACCACTGATAATCTCCCTCGATCTGGGGCTCCACGCAAGATCTCACCCCGTGGGTTCAAAATGATCACAAGAACGGTGAGCAAAAATCCCAGAACCACACGGGGGGACCTAGTGAATGACCTGCAGAGAGCTGGGACCAAAGTAACAAAGCCTACCATCAGTAACACACTACGCCGCCAGGGACTCAAATCCTGCAGTGTCAGACGTGTCCCCCTGCTTAAGCCAGTACATGTCCAGGCCCATCTGAAGTTTGCTAGAGTGCATTTGGATGATCCAGAAGAGGATTGGGAGAATGTCATATGGTCAGATGAAACCAAAATAGAACTTTTTGGTAAAAACTCAACTCATCGTGTGTGGAGGACAAAGAATGCTGAGTTGCATCCAAAGAACACCATACCTACTGTGAAGCATGGGGGTGGAAACATCATGCTTTGGGGCTGTTTTTCTGCAAAGGGACCAGGACGACTGATCCTTGTAAAGGAAAGAATGAATGGGGCCATGTATCGTGAGATTTTGAGTGAAAAACCTCCTTCCATCAGCAAGGGCATTGAAGATTAAACGTGGCTGGGTCTTTCAGCATGACAATGATCCCAAACACACCGCCCGGGCAACGAAGGAGTGGCTTCGTAAGAAGCATTTCAAGGTCCTGGAGTGGCCTAGCCAGTCTCCAGATCTCAACCCCATAGAAAATCTTTGGAGGGAGTTGAAAGTCCGTGCCCAGGACAGCACAAAAACATACTTTAGAGGGATGGGAATCCGGAACGGACACTGTTATTGCAACAAAGGGACAGTATGAGAAACTTGTTATGCCATACTTATGTACAAAGTGGAAAAAAAAATTCATTTTGTGTCATTCTGAGAAAATGACACTTTTTAAGTGGAAACTACAAACTAAATCTTTCAGATGTTTTACAAATGTTACAAATTAATTAAAAACAAAAGCTGAAATGTCTTGAGTCACAAAGTGTTCAACCCCTTTGTTATGGCAAGCCTAAATCAATTCAGGATTTTTTTTTTAAGTGCTTAACAATTCACATAAGTTGCATGGACTCACTCTGTGTACAATAATAGTGCTTAACATGCATTTTGAATGACTACCTCATCTCTGTACCCCACACATACAGATAATTGTAAGGTCCCTCAGTCGAGCAGTGAATTTCAAACACAGATTCAACCACAAAGACCAGGGAGGTTTTCCAATGCCTCGCAAAGAAGGGCACCTATTGGTAGATGGGTAATAAAAAAAAAAAAACAGACATTGAATATCCCTTTGAGCATGGAGTAGTTATTGATTACACTTTGGATGGTGTATCAATACACCCCAGTCACTACAAATATATAGACGTCCTTCCTAACTCAGTTGCCGGAGAGGAAAGACACCGCTCAGCGATTTCACCATGTGACTTTTAAAAAATGACAAGACTTTAATGGCTGTGATAGGAGAAAACTGAGGATGGATCAACAACATTGTAGTTACTCCACAATACTAACCTAATTGACAGAGTGAAAAGAAGGAAGCCTGTACAGAATACAAATATTTCAAAACACGCATCCTGTTTGCAACAAGGCACTAAAGTAATATTGCAACAAATGTGTCAAAGCAATGAACTTTTTGTCCTGAATATAAAGTGTTATGTTTGGGGAAAATCCAATACAACACATTACTGAGTACCACTCTCCATATTTTCAAGCATACTGGTGGCTGCATCATGTTATGGGTATGCTTGTAATTGTTAAGGACTGGGGAGTTTTTCAGGATAAACAGAGTGGAGCTAAGCACAGGCAAAATCGTAGAGGAAAACCTGGTTCAGTCTGCTTTCCACCAGACACTGGAATATGAATTAAACTTTCAGCAGTAGAGCTTGAAGAACTTAAAAAAGAATAATGGGCAAATGTTTTACCCAGAAAGACTCACAGCTGTAATCGCTGCCAAAGGTGCTTCTACAAAGTATTGACTCAGGGGTGTGAATACTTATGTAAATGAGATATTTCTGTATTTCATTTTCAATACATTTGCTACAATTTCATTTTTGCCATTATGGGGTATTGTGTGTAGATGGGTGAGAAAATAAATCAATTTAATCCATTTTGAATTCAGCAACAACAAAATGTGGAATTAGTCAAGGGGTATGAATACGTTCTGAAGACACTGTATATTCAAACATGACAATCAGCAGAGTGGCTAGAATAATAGAGATGTTTTGGGGTCAGCAGTCTAACTTTAAGCATGTGCATAGAGGGAAACCAAATCTTATTTTTAGAGAGTTCAAATCATGTTTCAGAGCGGTGGTTTTTATGAAGGAAGTCACTGATTGGGCACTGGACTCCAGTACAACAACAGTGATGGGACTCACCAATCATCTCTCCCTGATCATGGATCATCACAGCTAGGTCCAGTACAACAACAGTGATGGGACTCACCAATCATCTCTCCCTGATCATGGATCATCACAGCTAGGTCCAGTACAACAACAGTGATGGGACTCACCAATCATCTCTCCCTGATCATGGATCATCACAGCTAGGTCCTTGAAGATCTGGTTCACATCCAAGATGTCAGACTGGAATAACACAACATAACTCAATAAAAAGGTCACGCTAAAACAACACAACTCAATAAAAAGGTCACGCTAAAACAACACAACTCAATAAAAAGGTCACGCTAAAACAACACAACTCAATAAAAAGGTTATGCTGAAATAACACAACATAACTCAATAAAAAGGTCACGCTAAAACAACACAACTCAATAAAAAGGTTATGCTGAAATAACACAACATAACTCAATAAAAAGGTCACGCTAAAACAACACAACTCAATAAAAAGGTTATGCTGAAATAACACAACATAACTCAATAAAAAGGTCACGCTAAAACAACACAACTCAATAAAAAGGTTATGCTGAAATAACACAACATAACTCAATAAAAAGGTCACGCTAAAACAACACAACTCAATAAAAAGGTTATGCTGAAATAACACAACATAACCAATAAAAAGGATATGCTGAAATAACACAACACAACTCAATAAAAGGTAATGCTGAAATAACACACATCAATAAAAAGGTAATGCTAAAATAACACAACATAACCAATAAAAAGGTTATGCTAAAATAACACAACATAACCAATAAAAAGGATATGCTGAAATAACACAACATAACTCAATAAAAGGTCATGCTGAAATAACACAACATAACTCAATAAAACGGTAATGCTAAAATAATGCACAACTCAATGAGAAAGGTAATGCATTCCTGTTTATGCCATGTGATGAGCCTAGGCATTGGTCTGCTCCCCAGGCACTGGCTGGCTGCACCCCTATTCCCCAGTGCATTAGTTTTGACCAGCGCCCCATTTAACAATGTAGGGAATAGGGTGCCATTTGGGACACAACCACCGTATCAGATTGGAGAGGGGGGGGGGAGACAGAGAGAGACAGCGGGAGACTCACCTCCAGCTGTCTGATGTTGGTCTCTCTCTCCTTGATAAGCTCCAAGTCCTCTTCTGTTATGGCCTCCTCCGTCATCTGTGTGGTTGTCTGACCCCAATCTTCTTGGCTACAGAAAAGAAAGAGTGAGAGAGAAAACACTTGTACGGAGATAAGGAGACACAAACAATATTTCAGAAACCAGGAACCATCCAGGAACCATATCCTGGAGTAGAAAAATATCAAAACAGCCTCCTTTGAGAGAGAAGCTTGAACCTACTTATCAAAAGACACGAGCTGTTCCTCAGAGGCACCATCTTCAGCCTGACAGAGAGGAACCAGACATCACTTGAAGTTTGATCATAGAAAACCTGCCAATGGTATGACATAACTCAGCATTCCATCCATTTTTTCTATCTGCATTTTCAAAGTCTTACAGAGAGACGGGAACCAGCTCTGGCTCTGGCCACAGACTCCTTCTCCTTCTCCGCTGCCTGGCGCTGTATGGCCTGGAAGTTGTTGAGGGCAGCGGAGAAATCATTCATCAGCCGTTCCTTCTGGATCTTCTGTTGTCTCTGTGGGTTGAGAGAAGAAGAAATGGTTTAATTCAAACACATTGTCACTGTGACAGAGTGGTGTAGGGTGGAGTTCCCCCTAGACACTGATCATGGGTCAGCTTTGCATTCCCCCCACTAATGGGTAAGGTTAGGATAGGGGAGGAGAGGACGCTGATGCTAGATCTGTACCTACGGGAAACTTCAACCCCGGAGCCATTCAAAACACACAAAGGTTACCCAAAGTCATTGTTGGGAAGTCCGTCCCACACACACAAAGTCATTGGAACAGATACTGACCTGCTCCGAAGGTGCTGACGATAGTGAGACGGCGCCCAGGTCTTTCAGGTGCTTGTTGGTCTCCTTGGCCAGCTGGTTGGTAAAGTGCTGTATCTGCTGCCTGAATGAACCGATGTCCAGAGTCAGTCAAGGAGATGGTCAACTCTCAGAGAGTAACATAGAACACACACACACACGTTCTGTTCTGTATACAGTGCATTCATATGTTTGTCAGTGTATGTGCTGTATGTATATTAATACATTTGTCACTGTATATATATGTACATTAATATGTTTGTCAGTGTATGTATGTACAAGCAAAAACATTTTGAGAAGACTTACAGACGGTCCTGCAGTTCGCTGGTGTCTTGCCTCGTCCCCAGCTGACTCACCATGCTCTTTATCTGGGCAGCTGGGGAAGGAGAAAATATACATCCTCTAAACTGTCGACTGTATATAGATACATCTAGCATAGATCATTACAAAGTATTGACCGAATGACCTTCATCACATCAACTCTTCTCTTTCTGCAGCAATACTTACTGTTCTGTGTGATCTTCTGGATGTTGGAGCTGCATGTTTGGATGAGGGTGTTGGAGTCCCGTGGCTGGGTGCGATACCCGTCTGCTTTACTGTAAGACATTGCTGCCAGTGTGGCGTGCTCTTAGGCCTCAGAGTGAAGACTGTTGGGGGGCTGCGTGGCATGTATATCGGGAAAACTCTGGGAGAGGTCAAGTTGTTTTAGGTTTTGTTATCAAGACATCATTGAGTACAGAGATACACATAGGGTGCAATTTGGGACACAGCCTAAAAGTCCTACCCAGCTGTTAATAATGGAGAATAGGCCATGATGTACATTCGGAAAGTATTCAAAACAGACAGACCCCTTCCCTTTTTCCACATTTTGTTACTTTACAGCCTTATTCTAAAATTGATTAAGTTATTATTTTCCCTCATCAACCTACACACAATACCCCATAATGACAAAGCGAAAACAGTTGGTTTTGTTATGTTTGCAAATTTAAATAAAAATAAAAAACAGAAATACCTTATTTACATAAGTATTCAGACCCTTTGCTATGAGACTCGAAATTGAGCTCAGGTGCATCCTGTTTCCATTGAACATCCTTGATATGTTTCTACAACTTGATTGGAGTCCACCTGTGGTAAATTCAATTGATTGGATATGATTTGGAAAGGCACACACCTGTCTATATAAGGTCCCACAGTTGACAGTGCATGTCAGAGCAAAAACCAAGCCATGAGGTCGAAGGAATTGTCCGTAGAGCAATCCAAGAACCCGATGGTCACTCTGACATAGCTCCAGAGTTCCTCTGTGGAGATGGGAGAATCTTCCAGAAGGACAACCATCTCTGCAGCACTCCACCAATCAGGCCTTTATGGAAGCCACTCCTCAGTAAAAAGCACGACAGCCCACTTGGAGTTTGCCAAAAGGCACTTAAAGGACGCTCAGACCATGAGAAACAAGATTCTCTGGTCTGATGAAACCAAGACTGAACTCTTTGGCCTGAATGCCAAGCGTCACGTCTAGAGGAAACCTGGCACCATCCCTACGGTGAAGCATGGTGGTGGCAGCATCATGCTGTGGGGATGTTTTTCAGCGGCAGGGACTGGGAGACTAGTCAGGATCGAGGGAAAGATGAACGGAGCAATGTACAGAGAGATCCTTGATGAAAACCGCTCAGGACCTCAGACTGGGGCGAAGGCTCACCTTCCAACAGGACAACGACCCTAAGCACACAGCCAAGACAACGCAGGAGTGGCTTCGGGACAAGTATCTGAATGTCCTTGAGTGGCCCAGCCAGAGCCCGGACTTGAACCCAATCGAACATCTCTGGAGAGACCTGAAAATAGCTGTGCTGCGACGCTCCCCATCCAACCTGACAGAGCTTGAGAGGATCTTCAGAGAAGAATGGGAGGAACTCCAAATACAGGTATGCAAAGCTTGTAGCGTCATACCCAAGAAAATTTGAGGGTGTAATCTCTGCGAAAGGTGCTTCAACAAAGTACTGAGTAAAGGGTCTGAATACTTATGTAAATGTGATATTTCTAAAAAACAGTTTTTGCTTTGTCATTATGGGTTATTGTGTGTAGATTGATGAGGGGGAAAAAATAATTTAATCCATTTTAGAATAAGGCTGTAACGTAACAAAATGTGGAAAAAGTCAAGAGGTCTGAATACTTTCCGAATGCACTGTATATACAAAAATATGTGGACACCCCTTCAAAACATCAGCCATGCAATCTCCATAGACAAACATTGGCAGTAGAATGGCCCATACGGAAGACTTTCAACTAAACTGTCTCTGGAAGCAACATCAGCACACGTCGAGAGCTTCATGAAATGAGATTCCATGGCCGAGCAGCCGCACACAAGCCTAAGATCACCATGCGCAATGTCAAGCATCTGCTGGAGTGGTGTAAAGCTCGCGGCCATTGGACTGTGGGGGTCGCCCCAGTGATGTACTGGGCCGTACGCACTACCCTCTGTAGTGCCTTGCGGTCGGAGACCGAGCAGTTGCCATACCAGGCGGTGATGCAACCAGTCAGGATGCTCTCGATGGTGCAGCTGTATAGCTTTTTGAGAATCTGAGGACCCATGCCAAATCTTTTCAGTCTCCTGAGGGGGAATAGGCTTTGTCGTGCCCTCTTCACGACTGTCTTGGTGTGTTTGGACCATGATCGTTTTTTGGTGATGTGGACACCAAGGAACTTGAAGCTCTCAACCTGCTCCACTATAGCCCTGTCGATGAGAATGGGGGTGTGCTCGGTCCTCCTTTTCCTGTAGTCCACAATCATCTCCTTTGTCTTGATCATGTTGCGGGAGAGGTTGTTATCCTGGCACCACACGGCCAGGTCTCTGACCTCCTCCCTATAGGCTGTCTCATTGTTGTCGTGATCAGGCCTACCACTGTTGTGTCGTCGGCAAACTTAATGATGGTGTTGGAGTCGTGCTTGGCCATGCAGTCATGGGTGAACGGGGAGTACAGGAGGGGACTGAGCACGCACCCCTGAGGGGCCCCCGTGTTGAGGATCAGTGTGGCAGATGTGTTGTTACCTACCCTTACCACCTGGGGGCGGCCCATCAGGAAGTCCAGGATCCAGTTCCAGAGGGAGGTGTTCAGTCCCAGAGTCCTTAGCTTAGTGATGAGCTTAGAGGGCACTATGGTGTTGAACGCTGAGCTGTAGTCAATTAATAGCATTCTCACGTAGGCGTTCCTTTTGTTCAGGTGGGAAAGGGCAGTGTGGAGTGCAATAGAGATTGCATCATCTGTGGATCTGTTGGGGCGGTATGCAAATTGTAGTGGGTCTAGGGTTTCTGGGATAATGGTGTTGATGTGAGCCATGACCATCCTTTCAAAGCACTTCATGGCTACAGACGTGAGTGCTACGGGTCGGTAATCATTTAGGCAGGTTATCTTAGTGTTCTTGGGCACAGGGACTATGGTGGTCTGTTTGAAACATGTTGGTATTACAGACTCAGTCAGGGACTGGTTGAAAATGTCAGTGAAACCACTTGCCAGTTGGTCAGCGCATGCTCGGAGTACACGTCCTGGTAATCCGTCTGGCCCTGCAGCGTTGTGAATGTTGACCTGTTTAAAGATCTTACTCACATCGGCTAAAGAGAGCGTGATCACACAGTCGTCCGGAACAGCTGATGCTCTCATGCATGCTTCAGTGTTGCTTGCCTCGAAGCGAGCATAGAAGTTATTTAGCTTGTCTGGTATGCTCGTGTCACTGGGCAGCTCGCGGCTGTGCTTCCCTTTGTAGTCTGTAATAGTTTGCAAGCCCTGCCACATCCGACGAGCATCGGATCCTGTGTAGTACAATTTCATCTTAGTCCTGTATTGATGCTTTGCCTGTTTGATGGTTCGTTGGAGGGCATAGCGGGATTTCTTATAAGAGTCCGGGTTAGAGTCCCGCTCCTTGAAAGCGGCAGCTCTACCCTTTAGCTCAGTGCGGATGTTGCCTGTAATCCATGGCTTCTGGTTGGGGTATGTACGTACGGTCACTGTGGGGACGACGTCATCGATGCACTTATTGATGAAGCCAGTGACTGATGTGGTATACTCCTCAATGCCATCGGAAGAATCCTGGAACATATTCCAGTCTGTGCTAGCAAAACAGTCCTGTAGCTTAGCATCTGCGTCATCTAACCACTTCTGTATTGAGCGAGTCACTGGTACTTCCGGCTTTAGTTTTTGCTTGTAAGCAGGAATCAGGATGATAGAATTATGGTCAGATTTGCCAAATGGAGGGCGAGGGAGAGCTTTGTACGAATCTCTGTGTGTGGAGTAAAGGTGGTCTAGAGTTTTTTTGTTGTTGTTATAAATTAGGTAAAACGGATTTACAAATACATTTGATTTTAGTGTGAAGCATGATGACATTACAACAGTATTTGTTAAAAGTAATGACTCCACACACTTATTTTGCAATCCATCCCGACCAGCTAACACTATCTAGCCATCCTTAGTAGCAAACACTATCTAGCCATTTAGGACAATCATTGGGGAAATCGACTTTCTGTTCCTCACACCATTAGACAGGGGAGTTCCAGGGAACAAGCACCAAGTGCCAGGTCACACAGACAGTGCCAGGCCAGTGCATTGAGTGACACACTATTTTGAAATAGCAGTTTCTCACTCCCAAAACATCATCAGACTGCCACATACCTACTCAATCTCTGGCTAGGTAGTTAGGCTATTAGGTTGACCACAAGCAAGCTTTAGACCTTGTTGCTGCCAGGTATTTCTTCAGAATTTAACTAGCTATGTCTGTTTTGGTGGCTAGCTAGATGTTTTACAGCTGAAGTTGGCTAACTAACCAAACTTCCTTAAGCTTATGTAGCTAACTAGCCAACAAACTGACTGGCTTTCCACAAAACTAGACACCTGTTGTTTATTAATACAAAGTTAGTTAGAGATGTTTCCAAATTGTATAATTTAATTGAGGAGTTGTATTGCCGACACAGGCCTGCTCTGATGACGCTGAAAATAGCCAGCTAGCAACGTTAGCTAGCTTGATTGCTAAAGTTAGCGTTGTTAGCACAGAGCCATCAGATGCGGAACTCGGCTCCCAGCAAATTGTAGAAGCTTGTCAACAAAATGTGACTTTTTATTTCACAGCGAGTTATACATTAACGTAGGTTTAAACTGAAAATAACCCAATCTTACTTGTTTAGTGGGCTGTTGCACATACAACATCCGCTATGTTTCACTTTGTTCCTCCGTCAAGAAGCTAGCCTCCCAAAACTGCCAAATGACGTCATTACGTACAGACAAAACCTTTGGTCAGCGCAAGGCGTACGGTAATGAACTCGATATTCAATCAAATCTGTTTATAAAATGAGTTTAAAAAAAACAACTTTATTTTGTTAAAAACATTATGTACATACATAAAGTAAAATAAGATGAAGCCTTTCACAACTGTTCCCAACTTTCACTCGGGAGCAGAAGAGGATTAGCTACAAAATCGTATTCAGAAACTAAACACACAAATCAGAGTAGGCCTCGTCATGCAAAATAATATCTCAAATCCTGTACACCCTGGGATTCATTCAATGGGCAGCCCATCCCTCCCGTTCAGTCACTGGGAAACCTTGTGACTCATGGTTTTCTGCTAATTGAAACAGCCATGCTGCGCCCTCTCACTTTGTGCAACAGAGACCGGTGCACGTTCAGCAGTACACAACGTTTCGGAACGTTTCGATAGAAAAATACCTTGTACCTTGCTGAACTCTCGGCAGTCTATGGAAACAACTCGTGTCATTTTGGTCGGGACATTTTATAAGACATCTCTACCTGGCAACATGATACATATACAGTACCAGTCAAAAGTTTGGAAACACCTACTCATTACAGGGTTTTTCCTTTATTTTTACTATGTAGAAAAATAGTGAAGACATCAAAGCTATGAAATAACACAAATGGAATCATGTAACCATAAACGTGTTAAACAAATCAAAATATATTTTATATTTGAGATTCTTCAAAGTAGCCACCCTTTGCCTTGATGACAGCTTTGCACACTTGGCATTCTCTCAACCAGCTTCTTGAGGTAGTCACCTGGAATGCATTTCAATTAACAGGTGTGCCTTCTTAAAAGTTAATTTGTGGAATTTCTTTCCTTCTTAATGCGTTTGCGCCAATCAGTTGTGTTGTGACTAGGTAGGGTTGGTTGGTATACAGAAAATAGCCCTATTTGGTAAGAGACCAAGTCCATATTATGGCAAGAACAGCTCAAATAAGCAAAGAGAAATGACAGTCATCATTACTTTAAGACATGAAGATCAGTCAATACGGAACATTTCAAGTTTCAAGGTTTGAAAATGTATTCAAGTGCAGTCGCAAAAACCATCAAGTGCTATGAAACTGGCTCTCATGACGACCGCCACAGGAAAGGAAGACCCAGAGTTAAATTAATTAGTTACCAGCCTCAAATTGCCAAGAAACATGCGCAATGGACATGAGACCGGTGGAAATATGTCCTATGGTCTGATGAGTCCAAATGTGAGAATTTTGGTTCCAACCGCTGTCTTTGTGAGATGCAGAGTAGGTGAACGGATGATCTCCGCATGTGGTTCCCACCATTTAGCATGGAGGAGGTGTGATGGTGCTTTGCTGGTGACACTGATTTATTTAGAATTCAAGGCACACTTGACCAGCATGGCTACCACAACATTCTGCAGCAATACGCCATCCCATCTGGTTTGCACTTAGTGGGACTATCATTATATTTTCAACAGGACAATGACCCAACACACCTCCAGGCTGCGTAAGGGCTATTTTACCAAGGATAGTGATGGAGTGATACATCAGATGACCTGGCCTCCACAATCAACTGACCTCAACCCAATTGAGATGGTTTGGGATGAGTTGGACCGCAGAATGAAGGAAAAGCAGCCAACAAGTGCTCAGCATATGTGGGAACTCCTTCAAGACTGTTGGAAAAGCATTCCAGGTGAAGTTGGTTGAGAGAATGCCATGAGTGTGCAAAGCTGTCATCAAGGCAAAGGGTGGCTACTTTGAAGACTCTAAAATATAACATATTTTGATTTGGTTACTACATGATTCCATGTGTGTTATTTCATAGTTTTGATGTCTTCACTATTATTCTACAATGTAGAAAACTTTTAAAATAAAGAAAAACCCTTGAATGAGTAGGTATGTCCAAACTTGACTGATACTGTACGTTTATTCCACCTTCACAAACACATATGGAAACAGAAGGCAGAGTAACACCGCAGATAACACAACCACTTACTCCTCAATTGAGAAAAAATATTGTGTACCAAATGGCACTCTATTCCCTATATAGCGCAATACTTTTGACCTGAGTTCTTTGGGCCCTAGCTAAAAGCAGTGCACTAAATAGAGAATAGGATGCCATTTGGGACAGACCCTAAACTGCAAAGATGATGCAAAGCATAGCAAATGAAAACAGGAAGCTATTCTTAGGTACAGCATGTGCCAGGTGTCCACTGACTTTTATAAGAGGAGGCACAAAATAAAACTTGTCAATTAACACAAAAATAATGTCTGTAAGTAAATGGCAGTTATGGCCAAGGACTGGGGATGTGTCTTTAGCCTTTCAATGATCAAACATCTACAGAATATAATAGGAAAGTCCAAAGAACATGGCAAAATAGGATATTGCCATTCCATTGCATGCCTCAACAGTAGACAGGTTCTGGAAGGCTACTCGTGGTTCCAAAGGCCTGTTCAGAGGATTCCAAGGGTTGCCAGTGGCACTGGATAAGGGCATCATACAGTTCCTCGCTGTGTTCCATAAACTTCCTGTTGGCTTCCACCACATCCAGCTCTGGGTTAGGATCTACAATGGAGGAAAAGGCTGGCAGTGATTACTTGTTGACTGCTGTCGTCAAAAGGTGGGATCTGAACCCCAGTCTTCTGTTAACCATTAGACCAAGAGGGGATACCCCCTTGGGTCGAGGAGCATGAGTCCGACTCCGCTAAATGACATATACTGGTAAATCCTCTGAACATGCAGGATATCAATCTAACTTAATTATGAAACACCTCAATTCCATCAAGTCAATGTCATCAAGAGCCTTTTAGATAAATTGGCCACACTAGTCCGGGGAAAAACAAGTAGGAAAAACCACCACCTACCTTCCAGACCATCATCTTCAACAACTTCATTTTCCTGAAAATGTTAAATGAGTTGGTTAATAAAATGATTGTGTATATTGAAAAGTCATAACTACATTAAGGAAAACACAAGGCATTAAGGTGTTAATATTGCATGTCTAAGTAGTAGTGCCGTTGAGCTACGTCACATATCCCCAGTAAAGGTGCCGTTGAGCTACGTCACATATCCCCAGTAAAGGTGCCGTTGAGCTACGTCACATCCCCAGTAAAGGTGCCGTTGAGCTACGTCACATATCCCCAGTAAAAGGTGCCGTTGAGCTACGTCACATATCCCCAGTAAAAGGTGCCGTTGAGCTACGTCACATATCCCCAGTAAAAGGTGCCGTTGAGCTACGTCACATATCCCCAGTAAAAGGTGCCGTTGAGCTACGTCACATATCCCCAGTTAAAGGTGCCGTTGAGCTACGTCACATATCCCCAGTTAAAGGTGCCGTTGAGCTACGTCACATATCCCCAGTAAAAGGGAAGCAGGGCAGCAATCTTACCTGTACAGGATTCTGAGTGTAATCATACTGGTTATAGTTGTAGCCGCCATAGTTGCCTCCATTCTGGTCGTAGCCCCATGAGCCCCATCCACCACCATACGGCTGTTGGTTGTATTGATTCTGGTTGTGTCTGTAGCCTCCTCCATGTGACCCCCACCCCCTGTTGTCTGATTGATTATGACGAGTTCTGTGAGTGAGAGAGAGAGAGAATTATTGGTAACCGAGGCATCGGACAGTGATTATTAAACCCACCTCTTTAGGAGTTGAAAAACGTATTTATTTTGGGGAAAGATACTCTGCTCAGGTCTTGCAAAAAATCTGACCAACAAGGGGAATAGTCAAACAATATAGCTACAGTTTTATAGGCTATAAAAAGGTAGTTTGGAAAACGATTGGGTTATGCTACAACCCTGGTTTTTCGAATGGTATATACACACACACGCCATGTCTGGAGACGTCGTATAACATAGTAACACAGTAAGAACTGAAGTAAAACTCACTTGTTAGCAGCTAGGCTCAGTCGTAGTGGTTTGCTCCCGAGCCCCACCGCTCCCTGACACTCCTCCAGCGCCAACTTCTGAAGCCTCTGGTCTGGGAACTGGACAAACCCACAACCCCTGGAAACAAGAGAAACGTTCAGACAAGTAAATAACTAGAACGCTAGAGACCCGGGTTCGGTCCCGGGCCTTATCACAACCGGACGTGATTGGGAGTCCCATAAACCGGGGCACAATTGGCCCAGCATCGTCCGGGTTAGGGGAGAGTTTGGCCGGGTAGGCCGTCATTGTAAATATTAATTTGTTCTTAACCGACTTGCCTAGTTAAATAAAAATTAAATAAGACTGCTAAAAATTGTTAACCAAATTACGTTTTGAATACTTTTTTGGTAGTGGAAGAAGTTAAACATAAAATTGTTAGTGTAGAAGTTTTGACTATTATAAATAGTCGTGTAATAGTAACAGTAGATGTAATAATAATAATAATAATAATAATAATAATAATAAGCCATTTAGCAGACGCTTTTATCCAAAGCGACTTACAGTCATGTGTGCATACATTTTTACGTATGGGTGGTCCCAGGGATCGAACCCACTACCCTGGCGTTACAAGCGCCATGCTCTACCAATTGAGCTACAGAGGACCATTGGAAATAGCCTTGTCAAATTGTACTCACATCCTATATTAAATCAACCTGGATGTATGGAAACCAGCTATAGTGATTATAATATCCTCCTGGACTCACTTGGAGTTTCCCGTGCCGTCCAGCACCACCTTCCCCCCGCGACAGGATGGATAGCGGTTGTAGAAGAACTCGTACAGCATCCCGTCATCCACTTCAGGTGTGAGATCTCCAACGAACAGAGAGTGGAGTGGACTGCAGCGGAGAGAGAAAAGGAGTTGTGTGTTCATTTCCAATGTTTCTCATGACATTTAGTTTGACTTACAATCAAGCTTGTTGATATACCTGCTTTCTCCTTGCTTCCCAAAGGTGGCCCGGTTTAACTTGAATCTTCTAGCCTGGGAAGTACAAAAAGGCTTCCTTAAAAAACGCTCATTTACAATATGATGAACACAATACATTAAATTTATACAAGCGCTAATGAGGCAAATTGCATAAATATCTTGTTTGTCTCAGGCTACCAAAAAGCATTATGTATAAACTGCTACAATCTAGGTCTGCATCCCATTGGGCTCTGGTCAAAAGTAGTGAATTATTTAGGGGGATGTCGAGGGTGCAATTTGGGACACATCCTAGAATCCATAACATCTAAGTAGTCTTGTTAAAAATGGTATATTTACTGGTGTGGCTCCTGGTAGTGCTTTTCCATTGACTTTACGAAGACACCTCTCAGCTGTGGCTTCATCGGTCAGCTCCACGAAGCAGTAACCTGCTGCACCCCTACTGATGAGCAACACAGAGAGAAGGGATATCAGTCCAATGTTGCATTCAAAAGGATTGCTTTTAACTGTGTATAGTGTGTAGCTATAATACAATGGTGTTAGCCTGGGTACCAGTCTGTTTGTGCCCTCATGCCATTCCTTGTCAGGTCAAAGGGCACAAAGCTCATCACTAAGCTCACGACTCTGAACGTCTCCCTCTGCAACTGGATCCTGGACTTCCTGACGGGCCGCCCCCAGGTTGTGAGGGTAGGCAACAACACGGGGCCCCACAGGGGTGCCTGCTTAGGCCGCTCACAACTCCAACACCATGATTAAGTTTGCTGACAACACGACGGTGGAAGGACTGAACACTGACAACAATGAGACAACCTATAGGGAGGAAGTCAGTGACCTGGCAAGGTGGTGCCAGGACAACATCCTCTCCCTCCAGGTGCTGATCGTGGACTAAAAGGAAACCGAGGGCCGAGCACACCCCCATCCACATTGACAGGGTTGTAGTGGAGCGGGTCGAGAGCTTCTAGTTCATCAGTGTTCACATCACTAAGGAATGAACATGGTCCACACACACCAACAGTTGTGATGAAGGCACAACAAAGCCTCTTCCCCCTCAGGAGGCTGAAAATATCTGGCATTTTGACCAGAGCTCTGATCCTCAAAAGTTCTACAGCTGCACCTTTGAGAGCATCTTGACTGGCTACGTCACTGCTTGGTATGGCAACTGCTTGACAACTGACTGCAAGGCGCTATAGCTGGTAGTGCGTACATCCACTCGGGCCGAGCTCCCTGCCATCCAGGACCTCTATACCAGGCGGTGTCAGAGGAAGGCCCTAAAAATGGTCAAAGACTCCAGCCACCCAAGTCATTACTGTTCCCTCTGCTACCACACGGCAAGCGGTACCGATGCACCAAGTCTGGAACCAACAGGAACCTGAACAGCTTCTAACCCCAAGCCATTTAGGCCTCCTGAGTGGCACAGTGGTCTAAGGCGGCTGTGCCACGCAGTGCTAGAGGCGTCAATAGAGACCCGGGTTCGATCCCGGGCTGTATCACAACCGGCCCTGATTGGGAGTCCCATAGACCGGGGCACAATTGGCCCAGCATCGTTAGGGGAGGGTTTGGCCGGGTAGGCCGTCATTGTAAATATGATTTTGTTCTTAACCAACTTGCCTAGTTAAATAAAAAGAAATAAAAAGACTGCTACATAGTTAACCAAATAGCTACCCAAATAAACTGCATGGACCCCCTTTTGCATTAACTCTTTTGACTCATCACATACACTGCTGCTATTGGTTATTATCCATGCTGTTGGCTAGTCAGTTTACCTCCATGTACATAGTGCCTTCAGAAAGCATTCACACCCCTTGATCTTTTCCGCATTTTGTTGCGTTACAGCCTGAATTTAAAATGGATTAAATTTAGTTTGTCACTGGCCTAAAACGCAATACCCCATAATGTCAAAGTGGAAGGATGTTTTACACTTTTTTTTTTACTAATGTATTAAATAAGTATTCAACCCATTTGTTACGGCAAGCATAAGTAAGTTCAGGTGTAACATTTAGCTTAAATAAGTAACATAAGTTGCATGGAGTCAGTGTGCAAAACATGATTTCTTTAACGACTACCTCATCTCTGTACCCCCACACATACAATCTGTAAGGTCCCTCAGTCAAGCAGTGAATTTCAAAACACAGATTCAACCACAAAGATCAGGTGAGGTTTTCCAATGCCTCGCAAAGAAGGGCATGTATTGGTAGATGGGTAAACAAACATTGAACATTCCTTTGAGCATGGTGAAGTTATTAATTACACTTTGGATGGCATATCATAGGGTTGGGCGGTATCCAGATCCCGTCCTCTCATCCCGGGATTTACGGTATTACCGGCTTAGTACACAAGGGGACACAAAAAAATAAAACGCTAAAAAAGCCCATTGGCCATCTATTACCAGAAAGCTAACAAAATAAGTACAAGTAATAGCGAATTTCCATGGAGGATGCTAGCTAAATATGCTAATGAAGTGAAAATGAAATTGAAAAACAATTGCTAAAAACAGGCAATCCAGCTCATAAAAAGTAATACATACAGTGCCTTCGGAAAGTATTCAGACCCCTTCACTTTTCCCACATTTTGTTACGTTCAAGCCTAATTCTAAACTTGATTATTTTATTTTTTATCCTCAATCTAAAACACAATATCCCCTAATGACAAAGCGAAAAGTGTTTAGAATTTTTTGCAAATGTATATTAAAAATAAATAAAATACCTTATTTACGTAAGTATTCAGACCCTTTGCTACGAGACACGAAATTGAGTTCAGGTGCATCCTGTTTCCTTTGATCATCCTTGAGATGTTTCTACAACTTGATTGGAGTCCACCAGTGGTAAATTCAATTGATTGGACATGATTTGGAAAAGGCACACACCTGTCTATACAAGGTCACACAGTTGACAGTGCATGTCAGAGCAAAAACCAAGCCATGAGGTGGAAGGAATAGTCCGTAGAGCAATCGGGGGAGAAGGGCTTTGGTCAGGGAGGTGACCAAGAACCCGATGGTCACTGACAGAGCTCCAGTTCCTCTGTGGAGATGGGAGAACCTTCCAGAAGGGCAACCATCTCTGCAGCGCTCCACAAATCAGGCTTTTATGGTAGAGAGGCCAGATGGAAGCCACTCCTCAGTAAAAGGCACGACAGCCCACTTGGGAGTTTGCCAAAAGGCACCTAAAGGACTCTCAGACCATGAGAAACAAGATTCTCTGGTCTGATGAAACCAAGATTGAATTATTTTGCCTGAATGCTAAGCGTCACATCTGGAGGAAACCAGGCACCGCTCATCACCTGGCCAATACCATCCCTACAGTGAAGCATGGTGGTGGCAGCATCATGCTGTGGGGATGTTTTTCAGCGGCAGGGACTGGGAGACTAGTCAGGATCAAGGGAAATATGAACGGAGCAATGTACAGAGAGATCCTTGATGAAAACCTGCTCCAGAGATATCAGGACCTCAGACTGGGGCGAAGGTTCACCTTCAAACAGGACAACAACCCTAAGCACATAGCCAAGACAACGCAGGAGTGGCTTCGGGACAAGTCTCTGAATGTCCTTGAGTGGCCCAGTCTCTGGAGAGACCTGAAAATAGCTGTGCAGCGACGCTCCCCATCCAACCTGACAGAGCTTGTGAGGATCTGCAGAGAAGAATGGGAGAAACTCCCCAAATACAGGTGTGCCAAGCTTGTAGCATCATACCCAAGAAAACTCAAGGGTGTAATTGCTGCCAAAGGTGCTTCAACAAAATACAGAGTAAAGGGTCTGAATACTTATGTAAATGTGATTTTAAAAGTTCATTTTTAATACATTTGCAAAAAAAATAAAAAAAACCTGCTTTGTCATTTTGGGGTATTGTGTGTAGATTGTCCCCCCCCCCCTCATCAATTTAATCATTTTTAGAATAAGACTAACGTAACAAAATGTAGAAAAAGTGAAAGGGTCTGAAAAATGTCCTAATGCACTGTATATAGGTAGGAGCTACAGATTGTCATTTTTGGTGAGTTGACTTTTACAAGCGAATGTGATCGAGAGACATTGTTCAAATGAACAGAACTACTGGCCCTGGAGCAGCCGGTGTTCTAGTGAGAAAGGAGAGGGCAAATAATACCAGGAAATGAAAAGATGGCAGCTGTACAGATAACTCATCAAAAAGGGCTTTGACTTCTCGAACACGGCAGAAAGCAAACACAATATGATGCCCCGTCCACCTTATTAATTCAGCCACTTACTTAGATAACTAGCAAGTTAAAACTTAGGGGGTCACGTTAAGGCAGAATTCTTCGTTTTTCACACAAGAAAAAAAAAAAGACAAAACGCATAAGAAATATCTTGCGTTTTGTAAACGCAGTTCTAAAATGCTTCTTATTGTACTTTCTGCTCGGAATCAGACTAATTTTCTGCTTCAGTTGCACTTCTCCACTGATGACAATTCACGAACGGGCATTCTATCAACAGATAGCGCTACTTTTCTCGGTGTAGCCTGCCTACAAGATTAACTTTAAGAAAAACATTACATGTAGCTGGATACATTCATTCTATGATAAACAGAAATATAAACGGCCGTGCATAGCTTTTTCATTGTAAGCTCATTTAGCCTACTTGTGTGACTGCCAGCCAAATAGCGTTGCACTTCTGTTGTCATCTGATGAAAATGAAGCCATTTTCTGCCGAGTGTGTTGCACTTATGTATTTTCTGTAAAGGAAAACGAGTTGCACTTCCCTGAACACTCCATTGAAGCAAAAAAAAAAAAAACACTTGACTTTCAATATAAACCGCGACCCGTCAATACACACAGCTGGACTCACCTTCTCCCGCTTTCTCCAGTTTACAAACAAACACGTGACTGGCTCAACTGTTCTGGGGAACTATGGTAAGCTTCATGATGTAAAATAAGAACGCAATCTGCTTTATCTCCTAACGCATTGCACTGCAGGTATTTACTTAAAAAAGTTGCAACAAATATTAAAATGTATAGAAAAACTTCAAATAAATAGTTTAAACGGTTAATTGCTCCTGTAAGTCGCTCTGGATAAGAGCGTCTGCTAAATGACCAAAATGTTAAATGTATTGAAAAACCATCCTGTGGCTATTTCCAAATACTCTGGTATACGGTATGTATGGTGTACCGCCCAAGCCTAGTGTATCAATACTCCCACTTACTACAAAGATACAGGCGTCCTTCCTAACTCAGTTGCCAGAGAGGAAGGAAAACACTCCGGAATTTCACCACGAGGCCAATGGTGACTTTAAAACAGTTACAGGAGAAACCTGAGGATGGATCAACAACATCGTAGTTACTCCACAATACCAATCTAATTGACAGAGTGAAAAGGAAGCCTGTACAGAATAAAAAAATATTCCAAAACATACACCCTGTTTGCAACAAAAGCAATAATGCAAAAAAATGTGGCAAAGGAATTAACTTTTAGTCCTGAATACAAAGTGTTATTGTATTTGCCCCAACCATACAACACATTACGGAGTACCACATATTTTCAAGCATAGTGGTGGTGGCATCATGTTAAGGGTATGCTTGTAATCGTTAAGGACTGGGGAGTTTTTTGGGGGGGGGTAAAAAAAAGAAACTGAATGGAGCTAAACATAAGCAAAATCCTAGAGGAAAACCTGGTTCAGTCAACTTTCCACCAGACACTGGGAGATGAATTCACCTTTCACCAGGACAATAACCTACAACACAAGGCCAAATATACACTGGAGCTGCTTACCAAGAAGACAGTGAATGTTCCCGAGTGGCTGAGTTACAGTTTTGACTTAAATCTACTTGAAAATATATGGCAAGACCTGAAAATGATTGTTTAGCAATGCTCAATAAACAATTTGACAAAGCTTGAATCATTTTTTAAAAGAATAATGGGCAAATGTTGCACAATCCAGGTGTGGAAAGCTCTTAGACTCAAAGCTGTAAATCGCTGCTAAAGGTGATTTCAACATGTATTGACTCAGGGGGTTGAATACTTATCTAATCAAGATAAATTAGTATTTTATTTTTCATTTATACTTGAACTCTGAAGCATTTATTTGGGCTGCAATTTCTGAGGCTTGTAACTCTAATGAACTTATCCTCTGCAGTTTGTGTTTTATAACTGTTTTTATAATAGGGCTCCCTTTAAAAAGATACCCTAGCTCACAGGCCTCTAAATACATTTTAAACACAATAGTTGAAGAAGCACGTGCAGTAGCTGATAGGGAAAACGGATCTGGCAACAAGAATAGGCTATAGTCTTGATCATTTGGGACCCCTTGGCTATTTCGCACAAGACAGGTTATAGCCAATACTTAATAAAACATTTGTTTTGTCTCATTTATTGATATGGATAGAGCCTCTTCGTGACGCGGTTGTGCAAAGAGTGGAATTCACTAATACAACAGTCAAAATGCCTAATATAAGGCCTACAGTCCGTGCTCCCAAATACTAGAAAAAGTGTGATTCACTAGATTACATGATCACCACAGTAGCCCCACACGGCTATAGAAATAAATTATGCAAATATATGGCCATTAAATAACACACAACAACATGGCGTATTTAGATAGCGGAATAAGCCGAAAGCATATTTACTTTCTATTTTGCAGCTCAGGCGGTTATTCTAAACAAGGCGCTGATCTTTATCATTATCACAAGTAATTTTCTGAAGGCCCAAGCCTCTACTACGTCATCTACTGGTATAACGTCGTTGTCGAATGCAGTTCTAAAACAAGCTCTAGACTTGGAAATGAAACCGGAAGCTGCAAAGCTACTCTAAAGTCTGGCCTAGAGTTGCTTGATTGACTAGCTAACTTCGACTAGCTACGTTCGGTTCGTGTCCTTTGCAGATGCCACATTACTGACAAAAGTTTGTATGCATAAAAAAAAAAAAAAAAAAAAAAATCTGTAACCAAGTAAAGGGAGACGTAAAGTAATAATTGTACCGTGTAAATGTTCATTCATAGTCGTAACATCGGGTTTGTAAGTTTCCAGATCTAATTTACCGTGGCTGCCGCCACTGACAGTATCTTTTGACTGGGGGAGTTTTGTTAAGAGTTTCCCGACGCTTTCTCCAAACAATAACACGCATGCTTGTGGTAATTTTTTTGGAAACATAAGGAACATATCAGCAAGAAATACATTTAACAAAAATAAGGTTAAATTACTACACACTTTTATAGGGTTAGTGCTCCCCCAAGGCTATCTCTCCATGTTACATTGCGGAAGACATAAGCAACTACCTGTGTTAATTAGCTAACTAGCGTCCTCTGAACACCGGTGTGTAAGCATACCTGGGGAGGAAGTGTAGTTGTCAACTGGAGGCAGACACAGCTTGTGGATCTGTGCAAAACTGCTACAGTAAGTGTATATTTCTTATTGGAAATATTCGTTATTGCTGATATGAAAGATATGGTGAATATGTTTCGAAAACCGGTTTGAAAGCTATGATTTTTGACTTTTCTAAATTACATGGAGCCAAATGTGGGCGAATGTAAGTAACCGCTGAAACCCCTACATGCGGAGAAGAGGTTGGAGAGCTAGTGTAGCTATAGCCATACACTCAGGTCAAACGTCCTAGATAAAATACTCACCCGGTTACCTTGTTGCGTATAATCCGTACACTCACCACCAACTCCCCCATAGTGCCGAAGGCTCGGGTTATGAAGCTTTCGTCCATGTAGGGCTCCAACTACCAAACAAACACAGACAGACTTCATTATCATAACATGGTAAGGTTAGCTAACGCTAACTTAGCTAAGAGTTAGCTACCACATGTCCCTTGCAAATATTATAAAGGCTGTGTTTAGCTAGTAATTAGGTGTCAAATGTTCCATCTGCAACAAGTTAACGTAGCACTAATAAACCAAGTCGGTTAACTAGCTAGCCACCTAACGTTATGCAACTACTAGCTAGCTAGTATGCTAGCAAACATAACTTTCAAGTTGAAGCTAGCTAAACCTGGCTAGCTACTTAGATTCAACTAGCTACCTACAACATGAAGTGTTAAAAATGTCGACTGAAATGGTTCGAGATACTCACGTTTCCCATCCATAGGGTGCTCATGTTTTAGACCTGAAGTTATAAAGCTTTTATTATTATTTTTTACATTTAGTTGTTAATCCGCGAAATAACACGCATGCAGCCGTTTGCAAGTGTCGGAAGAGGCAACAGGGAAGCTAAGTTTATGCGCATGCGCATTGAAAACAAGTACGACTGACCGCTCTCTCGCCTGGTCCCAGATCTGTTTGTGCCATCATACCACTCATGGCCCCCAAAAAAAAAATTTAAAGATCAAATTGAACATATTTTTTGTTGTTGTAGTTTATTGATAAATCATCCATAAACCTCACATGGAATTACAAAGTGGGGAATAATGTGTGAATTGATAGTTTACATAATGTCTCACAGCAAGGTCATCACCTAGTTCCAGGACAAGGGGATAGGAGGGCCTATTTAGGTATATGACCATTCATGATGAAACAGGGACATTTGCAACTGTCCTCAAATTACATTGTGAGTTAGATATTAGATATTTCACTTTGTTTAGGTTTTACTTTTTTTTTTTTTCCTCCATCTGATTGGCTATAAGTATAACCACTTGATGTCAAGTTTTTAAAACTACTGTAGCAAGCTACTGATCCTGTCATATCTCTGAACCACTCAGTAACATATCCTTGCCAGCGTCAGTACTTGGGTATTTGTTCGTATTCAAATGGCCATTTATTTTCTTTTTACATTTTCTGAAGTTACACTGCACCAACTGGGAATATGGCCTTTCTACCAACCCCAATGTCACAGTGAGATGTGAAGTTTAGATAACTAGTTTCATAGTAACAGCCTGCCACTTATGTTTGCAAAATGTGAAAGTTATGAGGATTGACCATATTTAGGAATGTGTACAATTAACCTCAGTCAGTTGATTTACTGGCCAGGATCTTCAAAGCTAGCCTGGGTTCCAGTCTGTTTGTTAGGGTTTTGAAAACCAACCAAGATATGGTGATGGAGGGAAAAAATTTTATCATGATTGAAAAATAAATCCACTACCACTACTAATCCATTGATAAATAGAACACAACCATATTCCAAAATAGAGAAATATTCTAAACATAAGCCCAAGATTGTTTCCAATCCCCATATAAAACAGAAATATTCACCAGGCAAATCATATGCCTTTAAATGCAGTTGTTGACTCACACAAAAGATCAGTAAACATTTCTTCTAAATTCTCATCCACATCAAAAAAAAAAAGCCCAGGCTAGCAAAGATCACTGCTTGATCTTTGCATTTAGTATAGACTCTGCAACTAAGCGCTTAGCATACAATCTCATTGTAAAATATACAGTATATTTTATTACAAGGATATGTTAATGAAAACACAGATAACGATAGCTACTAGCTAACAGCAGACAAGCTTGAGTTGGTCCCCCTCTTTACGGTTACCACTGCCCAGCTAGAATAAAACATTAGTTCTAGCATGTCAACATGATTCTAAATTTAGCTAAAGCTTTAAAACTGCTTGTAGTGAATCACTGGCAGATTACAATAACACATTCTAAGGAGCAATGGAATTGCAATTTAGTTCTAAAATATTTACGCCATGACATCTCTACTTCTGTATTATCAATAAGTGCTCAACACTGCATATGCAAGATGGAAATCAGCACCGGAAAGCAGGCACAAAGGCATCGCAACATAAAATGGTCTACAATTCAATCTCTAATGAATACAGTAAGTCTAGAAACACCCTGAAAACCATTAAATCATATTCAAAAATATTCAAGAGAATAAGGAATGATTCTTAAGTCCACCCCCTCACCCATGGAGAGACAAGCTTGTAAGGCAGTATCTAGATCAGTGTTTCCCCAACCCTGGTCCTCCAGTAACCCCAACAATACAGATTCGTTGTAGCCCTGGACAAACACACCTCATTGAGGGCTTGATGATTAGTTGAGAAGTTAATTCAGGTGCGCTTGTCCAGGGTTGCAATAAAAGCGTGTGCTGTTGGGGGTAGTCAGGGACCAGGATTGGGAAACACGGATCTAGAGCAGGGGTGTCAAACTCACATTCCACGGAGGGCCAGTGTCTGTAGGTTTTTGGTTTTGCCTTTCAATTAAGACCTAGACAACCAGGTGTGGGGAGTTCCTTACTAATTAGTGACCTTAATTCAATAATAAAGTACAAAGGAGGAGGGGAAAACCCGCAGACACTCGGCCCTCCGTGAAATGAGTTTAACGCCTGTGATCTAGATCAGTGTTTCCCAAACTCGATCCTGGCCCCCCCCCCCGGGTGCACGTTTTGGTTTTTGACCTAGCGCTACACAGCTGATTCAAATAATCAAAGCTTGATGATGGTTATTTGAATCAGCTGCGTAGTGCTAGGGAAAACCTTACCAAGAGCATAACAGTTCCAAAAGAATGTGAGGTCAACTAGAACACACTGACAAGACACGACTATTATGACAGCTGGAAAATGCCCACCACATGACAACTATGGTATAGTGCAGGGCTCTCCAACCCGGTTCCTGGAAAGCTACCCTCCTGCAGGTTTTCGCTCCAACCCCAGTTGTAACTGGCCTGCTTCAACTTATCAACCAGCTAATTATTAGAATCAGGTGCGCTAGATTAGGGTTTGGAATGAAAACCTACAGGACGGTAGCTCTCCAGGAACAGGGTTGGAGAGCACTGGTATAGTGACTACTCTATAACCAACAATGAATGAACATTGAAAGATTTCTCACACCTCTCAGATCAAATACTATGTGCCACTTCACCATCACCAAGGTTGACCGACTACGCCAACCACCAACCCTCTCCAACACAGACAACAAAAAATAAATTAAACATAAGGTCAATACACGCCATGACTTAAGGAATGTGGGATAGGAAGGTGGCCAGAACTGAAGATGTCAGTGTCTGATAGGAGACTACAGTTCAGTGGGTTTAATGCCTGAAAAACAGGAGTTCTGGGTTACAGTAGAAACCCCAATAGAAACTCTAGGACTACGTCCCAAATAGTACCCCATTAAAGTGCACTATATAGGGAATAGGGTGCCATTTGGGACGTAGTCCTAGGAGGACAGTGTGGAGAGCAGGTAAGTATAGAGTCCGAGCCTCGAGCAGCCGGGAGGAAGAAGAGGAAGAAGATGAAGAGGTATAGGGAGTCCGCTGGGCCGAGCTGCTTTCCACAAAAAAAAAAACACACACTCAGTCCATCTTCTCTTTCTGCACCAGTTTGGGGGCGTCCACAAAGTCACGGCCGTTGAAGACGATGACGGAAGCGGTGACGGCAGCAGCAGTGCCCCAGAACAACAAATACGCCAGGGTCTCAGTCCACGTGTCACCTGGGAAAGAGGGGGACACCCACTCATGAGAGTACAAACAATATCAAGGACACAAAGATAGTCAGAGACCATAACAAATACATTGATGTTTGTGACCAGAGATCAACACATTATAAGGATATAGACATAGAACACTGGGGCATGCTAGCTTGTTCTGCCTGAGGTTAATAGGGCTAGGGTTACAAGGCTCAAATTGACTTGTCAGAGGGAGATTTCAACAGTGGTTTTCTTACCAGCCATGAGGAGGCAGATGATACACATAGAGAACGCCACCACCATGATGATGGGCAGCTGCAAGACAAAGATACATTACTCATAGTTTGGGGGGGGGGGGGTGGGGGAGCAGAACTCAGTATTAAAATGGAGGCGAGGACCAGAGATGTTGTCATGTAAAGTGAACGACAAAACATGATGATCAGTCTGAACATCCTGACTGGTGCCAGGACATCACAAAAAGGCCTCTGCCCACATCTGACCCCGATGATACCTCTCTCCAGCTCTCAGTAGTAATGGGGATGGAACTGACCGTGAGGAATTTCCAGTCCTTCTGGATGTGGAGTGGAGTCGGGCCGTCTGTTTCATCAACAGCATAGTTTCCAAGGAACAAATCAATGGAATCCTGGAGACAACACACATACCCTTTAAGGAACAAAAGGGGCTGACAACTAACACAGCAAAATATCGCCATGTCTCTGAAACACATGGATGAAGAATTATGTTCAGTTTTTGTAAAATTATGATTTGAGGAAAACAATAATTGGTCTATAGAAACAAACTTCTCAACTATACAGTAGATGTCTGATATAATAATGTATCACTGACTACGTTATGTAGTTCACTAAATTAATTCATGTCATCTTTCTAGTCCTTTAAACTGAAAACCCAAAACGTACTTGTCTGAAGCCATCAGAGAAGTTGTTCTTGTAGTAGCGAATGGCAGAGTTGACTCCGTCCATCACCAGACCCATCTGGGTCCTCTTCCCTGTCCTGATGGAGGACAGGAAACAACAACCATCAATAACATTCGCTGTCAACACATATCAAACTCTCCCAACAAGGACGAGCGATACAGTCACAAGTAACCAGACAGGCAGAGACAGTCTGCCATAATGTCCACATAGCAGTACTAATTGAATGGCATCAATCTGGTGTTGGGGAAATAACAACTATCAACAAACTACATCTCATGACCATGTACTTGTACACACCAAGCAGCTAGTACATAGACAGTCTGCATAGACATGAAACAAAAGTATCCCTCAAATTGAAGCCACACCAGGTGCAGCTGCACAACCAACAGTTGACCTTCAACCACACATGCATAGTGTCTGGAGACACGTAGGCTTGTAAACTCAGCAACAAAAAACGGCCCCTTTTCAGGACCCTGTCTTCCAAAGATAATTAGTGAAAATCCAAATAAACTTCACAGATCTTCATTGTAAAGGGTTTAAACACTGTTTCCCATGCTTGTTCAATGAGCCATAAACAATTGATGAACATGCACCTGTGGAACGGTCGTTAAGACACTAACAGCTTACAGACGGTAGGCAATTAAGGTCACAGTTATGAAAACTTAGGACACTAAAGAGGCCTTTCTACTGACTCTGAAAAACACCAAAAGAAAGATGCCCAGGGTCCCTGCTCATCTGCGTGAACGTGCCTTAGGCATGCTGCAAGGAGGCATGAGGACTGCAGATGTGGCCAGGGCAATAAATTGCAATGTCCGTACTGTTAGACGCCTAAGACTACAGGGAGACAGGACGGACAGCTGATCGTCCTCGCAGTGGCAGACCACGTGTAACAACACCTGCACAGGATCGGTACATCCGAACATCACACCTGCAGGACAGGTACAGGATTGCAAAAATTGCTCTTCACTGACGAGTCACGGTTTTGTCTCAGGAGTGATGGTCGGATTCACATTTATCGTCGAAGGAATGAGCGTTACACCGAGGCCTGTACTCTGGAGCGGGATCGATTTGGAGGTGGAGGGTCCGTCATGGTCTGGGGCGGTGTGTCACAGCATCATCGGACTGAGCTGGTTGTCATTGCAGGCAATCTCAACGCTGTGCGTTACAGGGAAGACATCCTCCTCCCTCATGTGGTACCCTTCCTGCAGGCTCATCCCTCCAGCATGACAATGCCACCAGCCATACTGCTTGTTCTGTGCATGATTTCCTGCAAGACAGGAATGTCAGTGTTCTGCCATGGCCAGCGAAGAGCCCGGATCTCAATCCCATTGAGCCCGTCTGGGACCTGTTGGATCGGAGGGTGAGGGCTAGGGCCATTCCCCCCAGAAATGTCAGGGAACTTGCAGGTGCCTTGGTGGAAGAGTGGGGTAACATCTCACAGCAAGAACTGGCAAATCTGGTGCAGTCCATGAGGAGGAGATGCACTGCAGTACTTAATGCAGCTGGTGGCAACACCAGATACTGACCGTCACTTTTGACCCCCCCCTTTGTTCAGGGACACATTATTCAATTTCTGTTAGTCACATGTCTGTGGAACTTGTTCAGTTTGTCTGTTGTTGAATCTTGTTATGTTCATACAAATATTTACACATGTTAAGTTTGCTGAAAATAAACGCAGTTGACAGTGAGGACGTTTCTTTTTTTGCTGAGTTTATATTTTTCAGAGGTCAGCAGCACACTGACGTGCAATACCTTGTGAAGTCAGTCTTCAGGGCTCCCGTACCAGCGTACTGCTTGGCGCATGCATTGGCATTGTCAGCCCAAGCTAGCGAAATAAAACAGACAGACATTATTAGTGAGCAGAGAAATACCCAAATGCGGGACAACAGAATGATTTTGCGGGACAGTGTAGCCCACATGATACAAAGTGTTGGCACCACCAAAAATTCATGGGAAAAATTCATGGGAATATGCATTTATATTTTCAATTACTTTTTCATGAGCAGATGCTGTTAAACTATATGGCCTTCCTGTATTTGTTTCAATCCAAGTAAAGTCTTCCAAGTGACGTGCATTTGAGTTTTGGCTGCATGAGCATTTTTTTTTTGGGGGGGGGGGGGGGGGGGACTATTCAGCTA